ATAAATAAATAAAATAAATACATAACTAGCTACTGAGCAATGTACATATCAGCTACTGATCAATGTACATAATCAGCTACTGATCAATGTGCTACATAACCAGCTACTGTGGAGAAAAATCTCCAGTTTGTGAAGGAGGCAATATCCCCCCTCTTGAATGGAGGGGGAAAGGGTAGCCTTCTCAGAGAGGGCTAGCCCTCTCAGAAGGGCTTGTGAACCATCTTGCTTCTCCCTCCCACAACAGAATTATCAAAGCAATATGTGAGGTGAGGCATCACAAGATATGCCTCTTTTTCCCAGACTTCCTGGCCATTTGTACATACAAATGGAAAGCTATAGGAGCTGCTATTTCTCCATAGCAGGAAAAAATCATGAAAAACTGTGCCTCACTTGATCAACAAGCTAGGAATATTATGACACCATAAATTCACCTAGAGCTCTAAGAAACAAGGATTCTAGGATGAAGTCTGTTGCAAAAGCTAGCAATGAATGTCTATGAAGCTGAGATCAGCATTTCCTTTGTGGGACAGGGTTTGCAGTGCCCAAGAGGGCAGATTGCTTCAAGGAACTAGCGAGGCGTGAGTGTCACAGAGGGCATCGCCACCCTCTTGCTAAAGGACAAAGAGACAGCAGTAACTAGTGCATTCTTGACTCTTGTTCATTCTGACAATCTCAAAAAGACAAGGAAATTAATCTAGTGTCTTGTATGAGTCAGGAAATTCATGGTAGAACTAATTATGGTACAGTGGACCCTCCCTTTCCGTCGATCTTTGATATCGCCAATTTCCGTTTTCGTTGACTATTTTCGTGGATATATGAGTTCCGTTTTCATCAATTTCCTCCGTTTTCATCGATCGTACGGAACCTGTCCAGTGCCCGGTGCGCAGATAAAGTCACTTCCCTCATGCATTCTCAGGCAGTGTAGCATTGTTTCTCTGTGAGTGAACATATCCTGCCAGGTCATTTTGCAATAATCCATTGTTTTTGGCACTTGTTTATTGCGTGTGACTGCTAAATAAGCCACCATGGCCCCAAAGAAAGCTCCTAGTGCCAATCATTTGGTAAAGAAAGTGATGAACACTGTAGAAATGAAAAAAGAAATTGTTCAAAAATATGATAGTGGACATATACATTGCTGAACTCGGCAGGATGTACGGGAAGGCGCCATCAACGATCAGCTTCACTGTGGCAAAGAGAAATCATGGAAGCTGATGTTGTGAAAGGGGTGAATGCAATAACCAAACAGAGATCCCAAACAACTGAATAAGGGGAGAAATTGTTGTTGGTGTGGATCAGAGAGAAAGAGTTAACAGGAGATAGTGTTGTACAGTCGATAATTTGTGAAAAGGCAAGGCAGTTGCATGGCGATCTCATAATGAAACTGCCTGAAATGAGTGCTGATGTTGGTGAATTTAAGGCCAGCAAAGGTTGGTTCGAAAAATTCAAAAAGCGAAGTGGCATACACAGTGTTGTAAGGCATGGTGAGAGTGCCAGTTCAGACAAACAAGTGACTGAAAAATTCGTGCGGGAATTCAAAGGTTATGCAGAAGCTGAAAAATTCCAATCCCAACAATTGTTCAAAAAAAATTGTGTCGAAACAGGCCTGTTTTGGAAGAAAATGCGAAAGAGGACCTACATTACACAGGAGGAAAAGGCACTCCCAGGACACAAGCCTATGAAAGACAGGCTAACTCTCTTGTTGTGTGGTAATGCTAGTGGGGATTTCAAAGTGAAGCCTTTACTCATGTATCACTCTGAAAATCCCAGTGTGTTCAAGAAAAACAGTGTCGTCAAGAGTAAACTGTGTATGATGCGGAAGGCTAATAGTAGGGCATCGGTCACTAGGGAAATTTTCCTGGAGTGGTTCAATGAAGTGTTTGGCCTGAGTGTGAAATACCTCCTGGATAATAAATTGCCACTCCAGTGCCTCCTGTTAATGGACCATGCTCCTGCTCATCCTCCAGACTTGGAAGACCAATTGTCTAAGGAATTAAGTTTTGTAACAGTGAAGTTCTTGCGTCCTAACACCACTCCTCTCATCCAGCCCATGGACCAGCAGATCATTGCAAACTTCAAAAAACTGTAAACCAATACAATGTTTCAAAGGTGCTTTGACATAACCTTGGACTTTGAATTGACCCTAAGAGAGTTCTGGAAGAATCACTTGAATATCTTCCACTGTATAAGCCTTATAGATAAGGCTTGGCAGGGAGTGACTTCCAGGACAATGAACTCTGCTTGGGGAAAACTGTGGCCGATTGTGTCCAAAGGAAGGATTTTGAAGGGTTTGAAGCTGACCCTGTTGACCCTACACCCATTGTGCAATCAATTGTGGCATTGGGGAATTTCATGGGGTTGTATGTGAGTGGCAAGGATGTGGAAGAGTTGGAGGAGGACCACAATGAAGAGCTAACTACTGATGAGCTGCAAGAGCTTCATCTGCAACAGAAAGAGACCACAGCTCAGGAAATTGCTTCAGAGGAGGAGGAAGAGAGATGGAAGAAGGTGCTTTCTTCAGAGATTAAGGAGATTTATGCAATGTGGACTAAAGTGCATTCATTTGTGGAGGAACATCACCCTGAGAAAGCTGCTGCAATCTGTTCTGGCGACTTTTACAATGACAATGACATGTCCCATTTTAGGCAAATCTTAAAGAGACGCCAGAAACAGACCTTTCTGGACAGGTATTTTGTGCGACAGGGGTCCAGTGACTCTCAAGTTGGTCCTAGTGGCATTAAGAAACAAAGGAGGGAAGTGACCCCAGATAAGGACATGGTACCTAGAGTCCTTATGGAGGGGAATTCCCCTTCCCAACAATAACCTCCTCCCTCTGCCCTCCTCCCTGTCTTCCATCCATCAACAACAGCCATCAATAAAGTTAAGTGTCATGTTAAATGTTCTTTCTTTTGTGCATGTAAATCTATCTTTAAGGTAAAAAAAAATTTTTGTTACTACTTCTGGGTGTCTGGAACAGATTAATTGAATTTACATTATTTCTTATGGGGAAAATGTTCCCGTTTTTGCCAATTTCCATTTTTGCCGATTTTCGTTTTCACCGATCACTCTGGAACGGATTAAACACGAAAACCAAGGGTCCACTGCATAGTGTTATTAGTATCTCCCTGTCACTTTCTCGAGTTACTGATCAATGTACTACCTAATCAGCTACTGATCAATGTATTACATAATCAGCTACAAACACTTCTACAGCAACCAGAAAGTAGAATAAAATTATTATAACATTTTAAACATATTTTAACTGGTGGTATGGGTGGTAATGAGGGTGGCGAGTGACAATGTCACTAGGTGTATGGATGGTGTGTTAGTGTGTGTGGGCCATGAAAGTATGAGTTGAGTGTGGGGCTGTGTGGGCTTGAAGCTGTAGGGGAGTGTTGTGCGTGCAAGATGTGGCTGTGTTGGTAACTTGGTGTGAATGTTTTGGTGGTGTGGATGATGAGTGACTGGATGGATGAGCGAGTCTTGAGGTAGTGGAAGAATGGTGTAGGTGGAGGAATGTGACCAGAGAGAACTGTTCGGGCAGGTTGTGTGGGTGAAGGTTGCTGGTTGGGATGGTGTGGGTGAAGGCGTGTGGTCAAGGTATGGCACTGGACCCGTATGAATGGAGCACCAAAGTGAGGGAGGTTGTGTACGTTAATAGGGCTTCCCTGTAAGACAATGGGTTCAACTTTAGGCTCACTGCTAGGAGGAGAAAGAACCCCACACACTAAACTTCACCTGACACCTTCACCAGGCCCTGCAACACCCAACCCAAACCCTGATGATACCCATCCTGACTCACAACCTCCACCCACCTTCACCCATCTCTCACAGTTACCCTTCACCCATAGTCTCCCTATCCATGCTTTCATAAACCTTCCCTCTCCCATGACTGCACCCACCATCAACAGACTGTGTGTTAACAAACACTCAATTGTATACATAAATGCCACTGGCTTCTATATTGTATATATACATGGTGACATATTGTATATATACAGGTGATGAAAGATTGAATATCAGATTGGAGGGAGAGAGTATGGAGGAGGTGAACGTATTCAGATATTTGGGAGTGGACGTGTCAGCGGATGGGTCTACGAAAGATGAGGTGAATCATAGAATTGATGAGGGAAAAAGAGTGAGTGGTGCACTTAGGAGTCTGTGGAGACAAAGAACTTTGTCCTTGGAGGTAAAGAGGGGAATGTATGAGAGTATAGTTTTACCAACGCTCTTATATGGGTGTGAAGCGTGGGTGATGAATGTTGCAGCGAGGAGAAGGCTGGAGGCAGTGGAGATGTCATGTCTGAGGGCAATGTGTGGTGTGAATATAATGCAGAGAATTCGTAGTTTGGAAGTTAGGAGGAGGTGCGGGATTACCAAAACTGTTGTCCACAGGGCTGAGGAAGGGTTGATGAGGTGGTTCGGACATGTAGAGAGAATGGAGCGAAACAGAATGACTTCAAGAGTGTATCAGTCTGTAGTGGAAGGAAGGCGGAGTAGGGGTCGGCCTAGGAAAGGTTGGAGGGAGGGGGTAAAGGAGGTTTTGTGTGCGAGGGGCTTGGACTTCCAGCAGGCATGCGTGAGCATGTTTGATAGGAGTGAATGGAGACAAATGGTTTTTAATACTTGACATGCTGTTGGAGTGTGAGCAAAGTAACATTTATGAAGGGATTCAGGGAAACCGGCAGGCCGGACTTGAGTCCTGGAGATGGGAAGTACAGTGCCTGCACTCTGAAGGAGGGGTGTTAATGTTGCAGTTTAAAAACTGTAGTGTAAAGCACCCTTCTGGCAAGACAGTGATGGAGTGAATGATGGTGAAAGTTTTTCTTTTTCGGGCCACCCTGCCTTGGTGGGAATCGGCCAGTGTGATAATAAAAAAAATAAAAAAAACATGGTGACAGTGAACGGGTTGACAAATTCAGGGGTTCAACTGGACCAGAATGCATGATAAACTACTACAGTAAACAAAGAAGAAATAAATGTGAAAGTAATGACAAGCCGACCTGAATATTGGAAGTTGTACGACCCATTGCATGCAGACGATGTAGGTGACAGTTGCGGCATAAGAGACGACCATCCAGTGGATAGCAACGTTGATCGGGTTCATCTGTCAGTTGTAAACCACAGTTCTGTAAAGAAATTCATGTGAAATGTTTATAGAGGCAATTTTCCATTATGTTCAGAGTTAAATGAAATGAGAAAAATCTATCAAGAAAACTGATGTTACCGATCATCTCCAAGTCTTTAAGTTTGCAAGATTATACAATATTAAGTTGGATAGTTTATCAATACAGGATGGATATACAGAAGATACCAAAGAACAAAGGCAAAATAATTTCTGACATGCAACATCCAAGTCAGAAACCTCTTCCAATACTGGTCCTTTACTCATTCAAGGTTCATGCATCAATGACAAAAAAAAAAAAAAAAAAAAAAAATCCTCAGAGAAGAGTATGAATCTCTTTTCAGCAACCTTAACTGATAGTATAACAGTTGATGACCTGTAGTTTACATGTTGACAATTGTCATGAATGAATAGAGGTAGTAATGGTATTAGAGAAAGAGAGTGCCTGCTGAAAATTATAAGGATGAATTGTAGAGAGAAAAACGAAAACCATGGTTAGGGGAGAACAACTGGGAGGGAAGCCAGAGCCAAAGAGTAACTAGCCTTAACCCCTTGACTGTCGCAACCCCCAATCCTGAGGTGTCTCCTGGAGTCGCAAAATTTAAAAAAAAAAATTATTTTTTCTTATGAAATGATAGAGAATCTTTTCCTGAGTGTAATGACACCAAAAAATCGAAATTTGATGGAAAACTGACGGAATTACACTCTCGCAAAGTTAGCGACCTCAGTGATATTTACAAATTGGCGATTTCGCCCACTTTGAGCCCTATTTTTGGCTAATTCCATTGTTCCAGTCGACCAAACTCGTAACTATTTCTTTAGAACTCCATTTTTTCTATCGATTGAGTACAAGAAACTGCCCATTTACCGATTTCAACTATCCAATAACGTGGTCAGAAATTTGCAATTTGGCAAATTTCACGAAAATTAAAAAATACGACAATTTCAAAATAAGGTTCAGAATGAACACTGCAGACATTCCTGACTCTAAAATAACATTTTCTTTGTTCATCAGTCACGTCTCCAGGCCCCTCTGATATTACTCTTCCTTTCTACTTTTGAATTTTTATTCAAACAAAAAATAGAAGATTTACTATTATGCAGACTACTGCAATATTGTAATAATTGTACAAATAATGTCAACCCATTCATGACTGCATATTAGAATGGCTAGTTGGACATTTATTGGACAATGACATCATTTGTTTACTTTTGAACATTGGCAAAAATCAAACATTTTCCCTACTTTGAGCTCCATTTCCAGATTATTTTTATAGTAAAACCAATCAAATGAGACCAAGAAAATGAGAATAGAACCATAAATACTATACGAAAATAGACCACAAAGTCGGCATTTTAATTAAAAAATAATCAGTTTTTTTTTTCTCATTATGCACTGGATGCTCCAGGATTTTTTTTTATATGGTGCACACTGACCACACAGACCTATTCTCTCACATGTGGGCCTACCAGCTTTCTTCTGCTTGATTTGAAGCCGCTAGAATTTATGAGTACATATAGTATGTCAAACATGGTACCTCATAAGACGTATATATACGATCAAAACAGTCAAAGGGCTAAAACCAGACAAGTGCCTAAGGTAGGTTCCTGGGTCCCAGAACACACTGTCAACACATGGGGAGTCCATTGGCATCAGTGCCAGATTTGCCTATAGGCTTGGGAGGCTAAAACCTAGGGCCTCAAAATTTAGGTGGTCTCTGGCCAAGGGGTATAATATTTTTGAGCTAAAAGATCACTCAGAGAAAAGCATGGCTGATTTAGCGTTTAACTATCCACTGCTGAGCTTGAAATCGACTTTAGAAAATGCCATGGGCAGTCTTAAGACAATGCTGCCAACATGCCTGGTAAGTACAAAGGTATGCAGCAAAAAATCATTGATACAACAAATCTGCAAGGTTTATTCCATGCAATGGTCACTCTTTAAATTTGATGGGTCATTCAGCTGTTGACTGCTGCCTTGATGCAGTGAACTATTTTAGCATTATCAAATAAATTTATACCTTCTTTTGATCCTGCACAAAGAGATAAGAAGTTCTAAAATCATTTCTGCAGCCTCAGTCAAAAGTGCCTAAATATATGTCAGACACTAGGTGGGAGGCACATGCAAAAGCCACAGAAGCTATTTTGGAAAGTTACAGTGCTAACACTGATGATCTGTCATTTTTACTCTGATGTTAATGAGAAGGGTGATACACGTACCAGGCTTCAAGCTAACAGTGTTTTGCAGAAAATGGAAGAAATGGAATTTGTGTTTATGCTGCATTTTTGGACCTGTGTGCTAGGTCATTTTTGGACCTGTGTCCTAGGTCATTTTCACAGGGTCAGCAAAGCTATTAAGAAATCAGAACTGTTATTGAGTACTTGTGCATGTTTGTACAGTTCACTTTAAGACTTTTTAAGTAAAATTAGAGAAGATTTTGATGAGCTAAAGCAACCAGCAAAAGCCACCTTGTCAAATGTTAACTACAGAACTGTCACAAGGAAACAAAGGGTAAGAAAATAACAAAAGTGCACCTGGTCCTGATGCCTTACATGAACTCTCTTCAAGAGATATGTTTTAAGATAAAATTCTTTATTCCTATACTTGATGCACTTGAAGCCAATTTAACCCTTTCAGGGTCCCCAGGCCATCTCCCAGACTTGTTCTCAGGGTCGCCCAAATGTAAAAAAATCTTATGAAAAGATAGAGAATCTTTTCCCGATCATAATAACACCAAAAGTATGAAATCTGATGGAAAACTTACAGAATTATGCTCTCATGAAGTTAGCGGTCTCAACGATGTTTAAGCGTTGGCGATTTTGCCCACTTTGAGCCCAATTTTCGGCCAATTCCAGTGTACTAGTCGAAAAAAAATCATAACTATTTCACTAGAACTCCATTTTTCTATCGAATGAGTACAAGAAAACACCCATTTACTGATTTCAACTATCCAATACAGTGGTCAGAATTTAGCAATTTTGCCAATTTCACACAAATTTCAAAAGATGTTAATTTCCAAATAGGGTCCAGAATAAACAAGATATTCCTGGCACTTAAATACCATTTCCTCTGTTCATTAGTCATGTCCCTCCGCCCCTCTTACATTCTTTTGCTTTCCACTTTGAATTTTTATTCTCACAAAAAAATAGAAGATCTACTGTTATGCAAACTACTGCATTAGTGTAAAAATGGTATAAATAATATCGGCGCACTTGTGAAAGAATATTAGACTCATCAGTTGACGTGTATTGGACACTTGGGATGATTTGTTTACTTTTGAACTTTGGTAAAAACCGAACATTTCTGCTACTTTGAGCTCAATTTCAAGGTACTTTTCATTGTAAACCAGTCAAAATCATCTCAATTTCTGTAATATGTCTTCCATTCTATAAAATGAGACCAGGAAAACTAGAATACAACAATAAATACCATACAAAAATACAGTGCAAAGTCGCTGTTTTAATCCAAAAAACACGGTCAAAGTTTTTTTTTTTCTCATTACACACTGTGTGCTACAGGATTTTTTTTATACTGCACACACTGACCACATAGACCCATTCTTTCATATGTAGGCCTAACAGCTTTCTCTCACTATATTTGAGGGCGCTAGAATTTAGGCGTGCTAGTGCGTCAAAAACCCTGGTGCGTAAGCCGTACTAGTATGGCCGAAACCCTGAAAGGGTTAAGAAGAAGAGCTACTGTGTATAATGATGTTGCACAAATGTTTTCCTTTCTTGCTAATCTGACAACATCTAAGCAAGAAATTCAGAAAGGTGTTGAATTGTTGATGGAAGCATACCCAGAAGATGGTGACCTAAAACTTAGTGATGAACTTTTGCACTTTCACTGGTATGCGAGACAAAACCATAGGCCTACAGAAGAACCGTCACTGTCTCATACAGACCTTTATCAAATTATATACAGTGGACCCTCAGTTAACGATGTCAACGGATAACGTAAAAATCGGATAACGGCACTTTTTGTGTCAAAATATTGGCTCGGTTAACCACAAAGAACTCGGTTAAAGTAACCTGTCCTGAACGTGTCCGCGCGGAGCGAGCACCTGGACACTCCATGTATAGCCAGTATGCCATTGTTTACAAGCCAGTGACATTTCCATGCATACATGCGATACATTTTGTATTATTCCATGGTTTTTAGTGCTTGTAACTGCTAAATAAGCAACCATGGGCCCAAAGAAAGCTTCTAGTGCCAGCCCTTTGCTAAAGAGGGTGAGAAACACTATAGAATTAAAGAAAAAGTTTGTAAAAAGATATGAGAGTGGTGGTGGTAGAGGGTAGTAGTGATGGTAGTAGAGGGTGGTAGTATGGGCCTACAGGTCTGCTGCAGTGTTCCTGTTTTTTTATGTACACCAGCCAGGGTACTTCCCCATATACCAGCCAGGGTACTTCCCCATATACTAGCCAGGGTACTTCCCCACATACCAGCCAGGGTACTTCCCCAAATACCAGAGTACTTCCCCCACATACCAGCCAGGGTACTTCCCCACACACCAACCAGGGTACTTCCCCACATACCAGCCAGAGTACATCCCCACACACCAACCAGGGTACTTCCCCACCCACCAGCCAGAGTACTTCCCCACACACACGATTTGATTTGATTAGGACTTGCGCACGAGTGAACAGAATTATCAAAGCTTATTGCTTGGGAAGCATTGAAAATTGGGTTGGGCAAATACGATTCTGTTAGTGGGATGGTTTGTGAAGGACCTGCCTAGTATGGGCCAACAGGCCTGCTGAAGTGTTCCTGCTTTCTTATCTGCAAACATTTATGGATGAACATCACCCTGATACAGCTGTTGCAGGCCGTGCTGGCAACATCTACAATGACAATGTTGTGTCCCATTTTAGGGAAATCTTAAAGAGATGCCAGAAACAGAGCTATCTGTACAGATTTTTGGTGTGACAGGGGTCCAGTGACTCTCAAGCTGGTCCTAGTGGCATTAAAAAACAAAGAAGGGAGGTAACCCCAGAAAAGGACTTGGTACCTAGTCCTTATGGAAGGGGATTCCCCTACCAAACAATTGTAAACTCCTCCATCCTCTGCCCTCCTCCCATCTCATCACTCATCAAATACATCTTCAATAAAGGTAAGTGTCATTTTGTTAATTGTTAATGTATTTATTCTGCATGTCTCATTGTTTTCTGTGTAGGGAAATGTATATTTCACGTAAAAAATTATTTTGTTTAACCCTTTGACTGTCGCGGCCGTATATATACGTTTTACGAGGTGCCGTGTTTGACAA